CACACACACACACACACACACACACACACACACACACACACACACACACACACACACACAGAGCTTAGTTTCATATACAACACAACACTGCTTGGATTGGTGTCTAAACAGCGAGAGCCACTAGATGGCTCACAAACTGTACGAAGAGGTACTACCCAATCTATTATAGTGGTAGGTCAAGGTGCCTAAGAACATTAGCTAACTTTTCACTGCTTTCAGCTTGAAATAAATTTGTCTTGTGAGCCATTTCTGAAGCATTTGGTGCTGGCCAACGTCAGAAACTGGATGTTGGCCTAAACAGATCAGTATGGTGCAGTACAGTAATTCTTACGTTCCTAAAAATAGCACAGGCATGCCTGGTCACGGGCAGCCAGGTCTGGGGGTCACCCAGGGTCAGAAGAAGCAGCCAAGATCTGAGGCACATGTGCAGAGTTTGTGTACAGGGAATCCAGAAGATTTGCCTGGGGACTGCAGATCTAGAGGGTTGGGCAGAGCAAGGGGTCCTAAGGCCAGCTAGACTGCATATCCAGGAGACCAAATCAGAGTCAGGTAAGGGAGCCAGAGTCAAGCCAAACTCAAGATCCATGGGCAAGACAGGTCGGGTAGCCAGATAATCTGTCAGAGAGCCGGTAGAGGCACAAAACAAGGGTGAGGAATCTTGAATACAAAATTGAGTCTTGTTGCCCAGATGATTCCTCTTCTGGGTCAGGGGCTTTTACAGAAACGGATAAAGAGTCATCTGACCCTGGGCGGCCTCTGGTTGCAGGGACTGGGTGGGTGGCTAGGCCCAGATATCGGGTTCTGACCACCTATGTCTGCCCCAATGCTCAGCTGAGGAGGTGGCAGGCTAGGATAAGTGGCCATGCCAGGCAGGCTGAAGCCCCAGATTCAAGGCCATGGCCTGACAGGCACCTGAAAATGATGTGCTGGGGTAGAAGCGGTGTCAAGCTCTGAACTAAGGCAGCAATTCTTCTAGGACAACTGGATCCACAGGGCACTTGCTGCTGGTCCACAAGAGTGGGCTGGTGACATTGTGTTAACCTCTTTCCTGTAGGTGATCTGCTAGAACACATTACATCTTTTCAGCAGGGATCCCCCAAGCAGTATATTCATACAGCAAGGGTTTTTAATGTGATGCAGTTGTGAAAAAAGGCAAATGGAAGGAATTTCTTGGATATATCAGAAGAAGTACATGCCATACAGATAGGTAAGCATTAATGCTATAGTATGAGACTGGAAAAAAATGATCTAGAAAATAGTGCGTGGTTCTGGTGACTTCTGTTCAACAAAGAGGAATTTAAACAGGTGAGAGAAGGGTTACTTGGAAAATGGACTGACTATACAAGGTATGGAGAACCCATGAAACAGATGAGTCTATCAAACAGACCGTCTTACCTAGGCAAAGTCAAGGCTGAAAATGGATTATACGTGCTCTCAACAAACTCATGAGCAGTGGGAGGTTAACATCAGACTTAAAAAACCCATCAACTTCTCTTCTCATTATGATGTGGTCAACACTATGAATGTCATGTATTTGCCCACTGGCAAATACACAGACCACCTTCCTGCCTGCTCATGAGCACCTGAGGCAGCTACAACAATTTCTTACATAAGAAATAAAGACATGAATTGTCCCTTGATATTGTAGAAACCGCTGTCACATAATGTCTTCATACATTTATAAAGCTACATCTTCAGACTAGTTAGATCTTTTGTTTCCCCTGCTCCTATTGGAAGGTATTTTTTGGAATCCTTTCCTCTGATTCTTCTGCACAGATGTGCTGTGCTCTTTTCAGCATGAAATGCTCTTTTCTTTTAAAAAAAAATATAAAGATGTAACTTTTCCTAAAAAATGAAAGTTAGAAGGGATGATAGGCTCTTTCACATATTGCATAAAAGTCAGTAAGTAATGAAGTAATAAAACAAACAAACTTACTACAGCAAGTACTAAATGACTGAGGAATAACAACTGTGCAGTCGGGTGCACATATAGATGCACCCAGCGAGACCCAGGGTTAGTTTGAAGTGAACCATCTTGACATCAATAATGTGATTGGGGAGGGAGCTGGGAAAGGGAATCTAGCACTAACTGCCCCTGTCAGAGCAATATTAAACATTAATAAAGAAGATGTTTCACCACTAAAGCATTTAGTGTAGTCTTGAAGGAGGTAAATGGTAGGAGTTAACTGGGATCCTGATTTATGGCCATAACTCAGAATCCTTGAATGAATAGAATGAATTTAACAGTTTTGACTGGGACTAACATTCTGACCTACTAAGTAAAATTGTAAAGCAGTGTTATTTTGGTGCCTAAACACATCTTGGTTTCCTTTGTTCTTCAAAAAGGTCGGTTTTAAAGTTCTGACTCATTTGATTTGTTTAGCATTTAAAGGACATTTTTTCCTACCTCGTTTCTCATTTTATGAGATTTTAAGTATTCTTCTGCAAACACATGTACATATTTTAGATAATATTTAATTTTATAGTGGAATAACTACTGTAATAAAAGCCCTGGAGAACTACAAATGAGGAAGCAAAACTCACAAAACCTTCCCCTGACTTTTTTTTTAAACAGAAAGTGTCTCATTAGCAGTCAGCCCTGTTAAATTCATCACATTTGGGGAATAAGAAAAAAAAAATCAAATGTTCTTGAATGTCATATTCCTCACAAAGGTAGCCTTTGTAACCAAGCTTTTTACCAGGACTTGTTCACCTTTCTTTCCTTAAATGGTTTGTTACTTTCAGGTGTTGAATCTTGCATTAAAGTCAGGTGTGAATTTGAGGCAGGAACTCTGTCTGCACCACACCCAGAAAAGTGAGTCCTAATCCTGAATGTGGTTATTTGGGTGCTCCCGTGACATAAATAATAAAGGACAAGAATATCTGTTGTATTTGTTTACACTGGTAGGTTGGCATAATAGTCTGAGTTATCCTTCAGAAGGCTGCAGATGAGTGGACTACTCCATAAACTGCCTTCCTCAAGTGATTAAGCCTACCCTCTCCCAGTCTAAGAAATAAACCTCCCCATAGCCCTATAACAACCTGGCCCCTCAACTGAGCATCCCATTGCATGCCCTCAAACCTCTATACCCATCTCTTGTTATCTGAAAGCTGCCTAAGCCCTCACAGAGTTTAATATCACTGCAGAACTCAGCTTTCAAAAATGTCCCTCTTCTCAGTGACTGAGCTCTCTCCTGATCCAGTCATAACTCACTTGATCCAAGCTACTCACCTCAGCCAAACCTTAATAATAATCAACTCCTACTCAGTAAATACCCCGGTTTCACTCCCCCACTGAGCTACTATCAGATATGTTCCTCTTCTATTACCATGCTCTCCCAATTTCAAAGTGACAGTTAGCCTGGATATATAGTAACTTTCTAAGAGCTAAAGGTGGAGGGAGAAAACTCTCAGATCTGAATGTAATGGCCCTTGTTTGTTGACATCAAGCAATATTTGAGTATTTATTTTACACATAATAAAGACATATCAAGTGCCGCTCTTCCTATGGCATCTGCTTTTGTAAAAAAAATATATTTAAAAAATAGGGTAGCAATCCAGCTAGTGGCATTGCATTAGGACTATAAGTAGTGTGCTCTAGTTAAGGTTAATTCATATTGGCTTTGATGTGGACTTGTTACTGTTTGCACATCAAGTGCTATGGGACACAGGTTTGCCTTGTTACATGACTGCAAAATGGCTATGCCACCCTTGGACATTATGGAAAAGTGACATGACTAATTATATTGTTATGGATAATGGTATTACTTCATTAAAACAATCAACCTTGTTAACTAAGGTCATTGCATAGACCAGCAGCTCAGTATCAACTCCATCCTTTTCCTCCAGGATTTCCATGATGTTGGACCATGGCTTGGCACCTAAGAGGAAAGTAGAAACCATTGGCGAGTGGGTAATTCATTACACATTCAAGAACAATGACTGGTTGAGGCAGTATGTACCATAGCTTTAGAACAGCAAATGGTTATAGATTTCTTAACAAATAATGTGTACACTAACGTTTCAATGGATCAGTATCCATATCCATGTTTCTAATAACGTTAGAAATCTCTAATGTATTAGGAAAAATATCTTTTTTAATAAAATAAAAAGCACTGTATAGAATCCAAGTTTATGTATATTGGATAAAAGACATAAATCCAAGTCAATAGAGAAGTGTTATATTTTTTGTCTTGATGCTTACTCAAATATTTTAATAACACTACCATGCATCCCTCCACTCTTCAAAGATGTTTCTCTCAATTTTGCCCAGCAAGGCCAAAACCTGTCTGTTATAAAATCACATCCATTTTCAATCATCTACTTACCAAATGTGCAAAGAGCTTAATGGACTATTGTTCCAAACAAAAACATTTGGAAGGCCTTTGGAAAAATGGGTAGGAAACTCAAGCTAACATATTTTATGTAAGATACTTTATACAACCATAACATTTATTCAGATAAGCCTGAGACAGATGCATTTACCCAAAAATGGTTTACACAGATCTATCATGGAAACAAGACCAAATCATAATAAAAGACCATCATTTAGATTATTGTAACACAGGCAAATCAGAAAGTTAACAGCTACTTGGTTAGAAAGATTTATTCAGCTGGAACAGCAAAGTTAGAGGAGTTTTTCAACTGCTTAGAAAAAAACCCAGATTATTCTTAACAGAAATTCACCTCCACAGCATGCTTGGCAGGATACGGTGTAGTAAAACACTCAGACAAAGAAAATCAAACCGTTCTTCACCAAAACTTTAATTCTTGTTTCACTGAGGATCCTGAGAAAAGATGCTGTAGCCTAACAATTAACCCTTTGCTAAGTGTCGCATACACCATGTGTGTATATCGCAACATTTTGAGAAAACTCTAATTTGTATCTTGCCATACATCTTCCACTGACTAACATGGAAGCTCAAACAGTGGAAATTATAGAGTGCAAAGGTTCTTATAAATAAACATCTAGACAGCAGATTCTTCTGATTTTGGGTTCATCTATGCTTCTCAATGTCAATATTTTCCAACACCCGCTGCTGCAAAACAGAACAGGAAGTTTCCATCTTTCACAGCACTGCACAATGTGCGCTCAACACCTTTTTTCTCCCCCAGTATACTTATGTTTTCATATTAATTAAAACGCTGCCCTTTATGGAGCTTTTCCAGCTCCATAAGTCCTCTGTTCACTAGTTTCTATAAGCAGACATCATGCAGAAAGCATATGTTCAAAAGACATGTGGAACAAATTCACTTGGTTCAAAGATGACACATGATCAGTAGGAATGATACCCTAGCTACAAAAATGTTTTCCTGTGGTGTTTAAAGACAAATAATAAATGAAGAAAATGTGAGAGAAGGGGGTAGAGGAGAAACAAAACAGGACCAATTATATGAGCCTGACCTATAACAGTGCCATTTGTAAGGAAGTGAATTGCCAAAAACATGACATATTAATGACTTAATCCATGCCTTATGATTCAGTGAAAGTCCTTCTAGGGCAAAGTGCCTTTTATTTGCAGCCAGACAGATCTCATGTGATTGGAACAATCAAGGTTTGTTTTTTTTAATGCAAATACAACATTCTTGTGCATGGATGTCTTTATGTTCCTCACTGCTAGCAGAGGACTTTCATACTCTTCTCTGTTTTCATACAAACATGACACCTACTATTACCTACAAAAGTCCAACCTTATCCAGCCCATACCCATGTTTCTTTACTGCTGCCAGGAAACACATTTTTATAATGATTATATTATTATTTTTAGAAAACCTATTCATTGGCACAGTTATCAGTAAGCCAGTCCAGCAGTAATCCATCTTCTTTTCATATGGCATTAGACAGCTGTTGCCTACAAAAGGCCATGTCTGAACCTAACATACAAAATGGAAGTTTTGTATAAGATCCACAGCTGGTGACTTTGATGGACTTAGTATAAGATGTACCAGCTGAGAATGTGGCTTTTTGCATTCTCTTAATAGCTATGGATTCCCCTTCAGTTGAAGTGCTATGGTTTGGTTGGTTCCTTAATTGGTGGGATTTTTGTTTTGCTTTTTTTGTTTTGTTTTGTTTTCCAGGGTGTAGAATGAGTCTAGCTTTATCTCTTAAAAAAAAAAGTAGCCATGGATGGTATCCACCACAAGATAAAATGAGGAGCTTGTGGTAAAATAGCATACGTTATAATATCATATCACATTATTTTGAGTCACTGACTCTTTTTCCAACTCTCCTTAAAGGATGTGTGTATGAATTTGTCCGTATCTAATAAAAAATGAACATGAGGGCAAGGAAATAATTTTCTGCTTACATAAAACCCAGGAGAAGGCTAATACCACAGGTGAGGGCTGAGGCACCGCTGGTAGAGCTGCGTGAGGATTTGTCCACATACAAAGGGTACATCTCTGACAGTCTTAAAGAACTAAGTATTGACACTTATCTTTGGAAAGACTTCTGCACCTTCTATACTTGAATATTTCAACAAGTGCACTGGGCTGATAATACAGGCCATTTACAAATCACATAATGGCAGCCAATGCAGCAGAAATAACATACACAAACAGGATATAACGACCGGTTCAGGCAAAGACTTAAATCCATTATTAAAAAAGATGCGTCTAATAAAGATGCCCCTGGAGACGCTGCAGAATTCTGAGACCACATTTCAGCTCCTAATATAGCACTCCAAGGGTCTTAAATTGAAAGGGCAATGAATTCCATCCCAGCTAAGAAGAGATGGCAGAAAAAAACTGAAATGAAAAACTCAAGCAAGAGGATACTCCACATATATTAAGGCCTGATCGGCTTGTATCCATTATTAAATCAGGAGCTTCTCTGAAGTTTTGGTTTTCACATAGATGTATTCTAGCACGGAAACCAGATGGGAACACTTGAAAGCAGGGTTGAATTATTGGGGGGGTTGAGTTGTTAATCATATGTGGTACACATGCTAAGGAATTATGTCATAACTCATCACCTCACACGTGGCATGAAATACTGAACATTTTGCAAAGCAGCACTGCACTTAATTAATTAGCTGCAAGATTTATGATTAAATATCCAAAAAGACACAAAACTTATTTAGTTCCCTTTTATTTCCACCTGATAAATGGATCATTTAAAGCGGGTTGCCACTATCTCAAGTTGGTCATTAGTAAATATAATAAAAAGACAGCACCATTCCAACTAAAAAAGAAACTCTTCTACAGATGATTTAAAAAGGAACTAAGGAGATAGGAAAAGAAAGCATACCTGTCTCTCTTCCTCTTTTTTACTGAAGTCTGGAAGAATTTCTACGATAATTGTGGGGGCCTTATTTTGAAAAAGCATGCTGAAGCGTTAAAGGATAAGTTATTCAAGAGCCCCGAAGGCAAATCTGCCTACCTACTAGTATAATCCCCCACTTTGCTTTTAACAATTATCCATCTAACCAAAAGCATCTTTTGTTCAGACATTTTATGTTGATTTTGAAGTTTTTTATTACTTTTTCTGGGATGAAATGCAGGCTTGAGACCATCCTACAGGATATAAAAGGGGATGTACAACACATGGTAGCATGTTTTGCCCCTTTTTTAATTTAATGAGGTTTTCTAGCATGTGAACAGGCAGTGATTCAAACACATTGAGAATATAAGTGACTTCAGAGGGCTGAGGAAATACTATGATTGGCTATAAAAATAAATCACAGAACTCACAATTACGCGAGCAGGCTAACTATGTTTCTGCTGTACAGCAAGTTTATGGGGTTTAATTCAAAACAGATAATCCATCTGAACAGGCCCATTTTTTTTAAAAAATCCTTTGCCTTACCACCTTCCTACAGATGATTTATAGATCTTTTAGCCTTTTTAACATGCCCCTTCTGATAGTAAAAATGCAAAACAGGGTAACTTTCCCCTCCTCTTCTGCATCACTCTGCCCCCAAAGTCCACATCCCCAATGATTTGTTTTATTTTAGTCATATCAAGTTGTTTTATAGAAGTTTGGCCACAAGGAGACCATTCCACAGACCTTTGCTTAAACTTCTGTGTGTTCAAGACCACAACAATGGGTCTGCAGTCCCAAATACCCAACTCAGAGTCAAAGGAACATTTCAAATCAAAAGAGCATGTCTTGGGAGTTTAGCAATATTTTTGTGGGAAGAGGAAAGAAAGGGGTGTAAGGAAGGGAGAGGGGAGGAAGACAAAACCAACACTTTTATTCCATTCTTATTTATGGGAATTTTTTGTCCAATTATTTTTGCCTAGTTTTAAAGAGTAACAGATCTCAACACATAAGGTCTTCTGGAGGATTTATTTCAATGTAAAAGTGTTTTTTTTTAATTTACAGTCTGAACTGACACTATTTTATTTTCCTTAGAGTCTTTTAGAGTCTTGAGAATATTGCTTACATTTAAGATAGGGTTTGCCAGTTTGTTTGTTTCAAGTACATTTCACCTACCTGCCAGATTTTGGTATGCATATTCATATTGGATAATATCTTCTAAGGATGTGTGTGTATTCTATTTGGATTCAGATTTGGCTCAGATCAGGGGACAGTGATTTGATTAGTTGATTTGGATCACTGTCTCGATTCAATTCGGCCGAATCCGAATCTGAAGATTCGATGCTGAATCAGAGAATCAGCAATTTGGCCACAGACACAGCTTTAAATGTTTTTTCTACATACCTCAAGGTACCAGGCGTGGCTTGTGAACCCTGAGATGGTGGGGTGGATGGATCGTCCCACAGAAGCATGGGGGGCCCCGTGCGCTCAGTGGTGGACCCCCCTCTTGCGTCCACCCCTCTCAGCGATCAGCTGTGGGGGGACCCCAGGTCTCTCCCCCAGACCTAGGAGGCACCAGTCACCGAGCCAGGGAGTGCAGGTCCCTTGTGCGCTCCGTGGTAGACCCAGAAGTGGACTGGAAGTGCTTCTGGTCCACTTCTGGGTCCACTGCTGAGCATGTTGGGGACCCCCCACCGGGCTCACCGCCTCAGCATCTCAGCATTCATGAGCTGCCTGCTACCTTGAGGTATGTAGAAAAAACATTTAAAGCTGTGTCTATGTCCGAATCATCAAATCTCTCCGAATCAATTTGGAGGGTTCCAATTCAATTGGGAGAGATTAAAAGGTCTCCTGATTTGATTTGGATTCCAAGATTTGGCCGCTGAATCAGGCCAAATCTCTGCCGAATTGAATCAGTGACTTAAGCTTTGCACAGACTTAGTATCTTCCACTAACAGTGCTACTGTAATCTATATTCACAGAAGAAGGCAGCTTTGTGCTGCATTACTATCTAAAAATCTACCTTTTAATAAAGAAAGCAAGAAGACTTGTAAAATCAGTGTGTGACGGAATCACAGATCTTGATTTCGAGTCAAAAACTGACAGATGCATGCTACACGAAAAATTGTGTTGTCACGAAAATCCATGGCTTTAGTGGCCTATTATTTCACCCTGTATGATCAGGGTACTCACCTCTCTTGTCATCCACTGTGGACACTGCCTGGATTAAAAGTGGCGCGTTGGATTCTGTGTATTCCACAAACACTAGCAGTAGCTTCAGAGCTGTCTTTACCACCAAGCGGAACTGGAAGAAAAGAAAGAGGCTTATCACTCAGCTGTTAGGAGCCTTCCCAGATGTTCTGTGTGCAACTGTATGAAATATTTTGTTCTTTGGGAAGGGATGGCAATAATATTAGAAATTTAAGCAATGGTGTGCCTAAATAAAAGATCTGCACATCCAGTTAACCTAGCAGTTCCATGGTAAAACAGTACTCTACCAATTATATGTCATTCATCTGGCTCCCAAAATAAGGCTTCTGAATGCATTATAAAGTGACATTTAATTACATTTTTTTCATAAATTGCAAGTACTTAGCATGGGTAAAATTTAAATTCCCCACCATTTCATGATACAATGTTCCCCTACTTTCACCTTCTTTCCCTATAATATTTCTATTTATGTGCATTAAACCTACTGAAATTCACTAAATATGAAGAATGGAGAAAGTGGGATGATTCCTGATGGCCCCAAAGTTTGTTATCGTAAAAGGGGGCCTTTGTGATTTTTTGGACAGGAACACTATAACCTGCTAATCAGAGAAAAACAACAACAAAATAATCTGTCTGTGGGCAGAGTAAGTCCTCCCAGGAGCCAGAGTTCAGCAAAGACAGAGCTTTGACTTTTACAGAGAAATGCTGACCTGACTGAAACCGATGGCAAAACTTTAATTGACTTCAGTGGAATTAGGGCTTCATCCACAGACTTCACAGTAAGACAGGAGGTTTTGCCTTTCACATAATTTTTCAAAGTACATATATACCTGCACAGACCTGATTACTAATAAACCCTTTCCTGCAAGGTAAATTCCACTGAATAGCAGAGTTTCATATATAAAGGTGTTTGGAGGGGAGAAAGGCTTTTAAACAGACAGTGTATATGCTAGGTGGAAGGAACAATAACAAATGGCTGTTCATGAGACAAAACTATTGTAGTCTCAGTTTTCCAAAAGCAGGAATAAAGCTGAATATAGGGCAACAGACTCATAGTTGCTCTTAGAAATACAAAGTAAGAAAACTGATCCTATGTAAAACTAGGTATTTAAAAGTTTTTTAGGTTTATCTGTGTTCTCTCTCTGCAACAGAGCTACTTACCATCTTGAAGAACATCTGCTTAGGTAGCTATTGCATGGCTGTTATTTCCTCCTTATTCAATTAAATGTTTTACCTACTTAATATTCAAGATGTTCTCACACTGAGGCAAGATTCCCTCAAAATAATCCATACACTGCTGTTTTATCACATTAATTTGGTAGGCAGTACAGTATTGGAAACAAAGCTCCACAAATCTTAAAATGTTTTCCCATTCTAATGTAGTGTCTCAAAAACCATTGCTTCAAGGACATATGGACTGTCTGTCGGTGATGCTTATCCATTTTGCATTACCTGAGTTTTTGAGGGTCTCACAATCTTTACTGTGTAGCAAGGCAGTACTCCTACAAGGGAAGGAAGTGCCACTGTACAGATGGGGAACATTTACACAGCAATCAGAAGTGAGGCAGCAGCAGTTACAGGTAAGCCCAAGCTATCTGTGGGGTATGTCTGACTTGCAGTGACTGCAGATTGTGTAGCCTTAACCAAGTTAGCTATCTTAGGTACTTTTAGCAGTGGAGCCAAACAGTGTAGTGGACAGTGTGGGCAAACCAGCTAAGTACAAGCCCAACTTAAAGTCAGGCAACTCATGCTGAGCTGAACACTGGAATACTACTGGCCATGTTGCTAATAATATCTACGCTTCAGTCACTGCAATCCTGGCATATTACAAATCTCACTAGCATGTTGATTGTAGTGAAGCCATAGTAACAACGGCTTCAGTGTGGGCTGTATAAGTTTGCTAGAATACCTTGGTTCTTCCTTGGTTGGTTAGTCTTCCCTGTAGTCCGTATAGTTACTGCTTTATTGATGCTGGAAGGGGTTACACTTCTCATTTACAAACTGGGTTTACTGAACTAAGCATTACATAAACATTTAAACAGGGTCCCACTTCTGGAAAGCTTGCAATGAAAGATCCAAGGGAATCTTACAACAAGGTTGCACTTCAGTGTTGATTGTTTGAATATGGTAGTAGTACCTGGTAGCAGAGTCAATAGAGTTTCCTTTGAACAAACAGCCATTAGATATTAGTCTTTTAAAATATCCTTTTTTCCACACAATGACAGAGGGATATTCTGTAATCCCTTTGCATTCCAACTGTTGGTCCTGGCTGTCCTCAGTGCTCTGGTAAGCCCAGTTATTTTCCTGCTCAACTTGAATCAGCTACACTACAAATCCCAGAAAGGCCTAAGGCCAGCATGGCTGCTTAAGGATAATAAGATTTTAGCCTTTGGATTTACTGAGATTTAGAGAGCCTGATTTTCTGAGTGCTCTCTGCAGATGCCAACACATGGTGCTTAACAAAGTGCTAGACCACTAGACACGTGGTGGGCACATTCTAGATGCAAGTTTTGGAGGAAGTGAACATGCTAGGTATTTTATCCCTTTTTGACACACAGCTTATAACCTCATATTATTTTGGCAGTAAGAGGATGCTTCTAATTTAGTTCTTTAACTAAATTGCATTTTTCCTGAATTCATGTCTCCTAAGAGCATAAAAGAGCAAACACAATAACTAATAAAAGTTGGAAAATAGGTATGTATGAAACCACAGGCCAAAACTCATTTTCCACTAGTCAGTGATCCGTTTGATGGAAAACATTTGTAGACACTGATGACTGTTTCCCATTACCAGAATGCAGCTCTGATCCCCCACATCCTCAGACGACAGCAGTACAAGTAGGAAAGGTAAAGAAAAGGACAACAAGGATGGTTGGGGGCATGGAGATGCTGCTGTATGAGGCAAGACTACATAGGCTAGGACTTTTGAGCTGAGATAAAAGATGGAAGGGGATGTGAAAGAGATCTATAAAATCATAAATAGCATGAGGAAAGTAAATAGGGAACCACTATTTACCATCTCTCACAATACTAAAACCAAGGGACTTGCAAGGGAATTATTAGCCAAAACAAACAAAAGGAAGTCCTTTTCACAAAGCATGCAATTAACTTGTAGAATTCATTGCCATACAAAGTTGTAAAGGCTGATAATTTAACTATATTCATAATAGGACTGGATAAATACATGCAGGATAAGTCTATCAGTGGTTATTAAACACAATTGCTAGGGGTACCACAGCAGTCCCCCAGTGCTTGAAGAAGGGTGTTTATGACTAAAAGCTTGCAAAGAACTTTTCCCCAACTATTTAATTGGTCTAATAAAAGATATAACATCTACCCAAAGAACCTTGCAAACCTCTAGGGTATGAGTTCCTAGGCCTCTGAATGCTGGAAGCTGTAAAGGAAGAGGGGTAAGGGACAGGACAGTCTGGACATACAGAGCACAGAAACCCTTTAGCTTAGCATCCACATACTGCCATTTTAGAGGACAGGATATCAGGCTAGATGAACCTGTGGTCTGACCCAGTATGCCATCTTTTATGTTACCGTGTTTTCTTGGTGTTACCAAGACCAATTTCCAGGGAACTGAAAGAGGCTGTGGGTCAGATACATACCATGAATAGCATATGACATTATTGAAAGCACTCATTTTTTCTGAATGATACAGCTTCAGGAAGGACAAGCATAAAAATCACAGTATAAAAAAGTGCCAGATGACCCCTTAATTTATTTGGCACAATGCCTACACAGGTCTGAGACCATCAGGGATCCCATATCCCAAAGTTTGAAATAACAGTCAGGCATTGCAAAAATTCCAGCTTTACATTACTGGGAGACATCTCAGACAGAAATAAGAGTATTTTATAGAGGTGCAGTGATACATTGGTCCCATATTGAATCGCCACTGATATAGGGAAACTACACATTATTGGAAATCGGCTTTTTTTGCCTGATGTGGCTGATAAATGCCCCATGCATACACACAGCTACAGCATGCACACGATCAGGAGTGCAGCCTGGCAGCTTGGAGAGCAGTCTGATAAGTCTGGTGTGGGGGAATACTGGGGGGAGATTGAGGCCCCGTGGTGAGGGAGGGAATGGGGCTGGGGCAGGTGCTGCTCAGCCAGGGCAGGATGTGGGACGGAGCCATGAGCGGCTCGTCTAGAGGTTGCAGGGGGATGAAGCTGCTGCAGCTGTCCGCACCCTGGGAGGGCATGGGGAGCGCATGCTCCCAGATCTGAGCGGGGTGGGCTGCTGCTGCGGGCTGGGCCCAGGAATGTGCCGGGCTCTTTGCAGCAGGGGGCTGGGCTCGGCTGTGCTTGAGGTGGGCAGGGGTGCTGGGAGGGAGCTACGGAGAGGGGGTCAATGGTGAATTTTGGGGTGGTTGCAGCCCCCCCCATAGCCTCCTCCCAGTGCCACCACTGCCGCCTACTCCAAGCACAGTCTGGTCCAGCCCCTGGCTGGGAAGAGCCCAGCGCAATCCAGGCTCGAGCCTGCAGCAGCAGCCTGCCCCACCCCACATACAGATCATGAGACAACTCCCCCCCTGCCATGCCCACCTGGGGTGTGTGCAACGGCGGTAGCTACTGCCCCAGCATCCCCCAGACAAGCCGCTTGCCCTGCCCTTCCCCGGATCAGCAGTGCCTGCCCCAGCCA